TACGATAGAGCTAAACTGAGTTTGAGTTTATTAATTAGATTGAACTTACTGGAACCGCAATAGGATGCTCGTTGTGTAGAANCTGCACAAAGTACTTGGGGAAGGAATCTGCAGGACAACTGTAGAGGACAAGCATGTTGTTCCCCCCCCCCCCCCCCAAAAGGAGCCATGGTGCTGCCTTTAAATTCCCTGGATTTAGGAGGCTGTGGAGGGAGTTCTAATGGTTTCTCCTTCTGTATCTTATCAAACTCTGTGAAACATTTCAAACCTCTTTTAAGAACAAGAACTGAGTGGAATAATACGTTTCACAACAAACAAAAGCGGCAATATNAGAAATGAAAATTGATAGACTAACCAGATCCATCAAGGAATAGCNCAAGAAGACAAGAAAAGGGAACTATTGTTTCGACATGTGCAAACCTAAGTCTTTCTTTTTGTAACTTCCAGGTGGAAGCTTTTCTGCATGGTTATTAAACAGGACAAATAATTAAATCTGGCAACTAAGACGACGGTAAAACCGTTCATTTCTTTTCCTGGTTTAAAGTTGACATTACCTTCTCGGGCCTTGATAGCTTCTTCTTCCATCGAATGTAGGACAACTTCTAGCAATGGAAATCCCATTTTGTAGTTTAAGGAATTGCCATAACCTTTGAGGATAAACACTTCCAAGTCTTCTGTCCATTCCAAATGATTATGTGATAAACTCAATAAGCAGATGCTTCCTGAAAATTTTCAATCAATACAATCAAATCTTCTAACAACGGAAGCTGTAATCTTATTCAGAACAGGTTCCTTCCAGAGCAGGCTCTTTAACTTTTCTATAGCTCTGCATTCATAGACAATGTAAAGAAAAGCAAAACTCAGAAGCAAATAACATGAATGATTACTATATTGAGGTTCATCAATACAATCAAAATAACATAAACTGAATCCATCCCAGCTATACCTTGTAGTTTTGACAACATNANAAANAAAAAAAAAAAATCTCAGCTTCGTATCACTTGCACGGTTTTCGCTTGTGACAGCGAATGCTCTGTTACGGCCTAGTCCCAGATCTCCTCTCCCACTGAATAACCCCATTCCAAATATTTTTTTTTGTAATTAAACGGGTTACTGATTAAAACTTAAATTTTGATATTAATATTATTTAATGTGTTTATCTGCGTATTAATGCGAGTCATAATATCTTATTATATAAAGGAGGATGCGCACGATGAGAACTTGACAAGTGACAAAATTGTAACTCACCGGATCACAACATGTGTCTACTATTAACGAGATGATGTTCGGTTGAATAATTGTGTGATTATGTAGTGTTTGGATAATAAGATAGTAGAGAATTAATAAGATTGAGAGGTGTTTGGATAGTAGTATAGTAGATAATTAATAATAGGATTTAATTTTAATTAAAAACTTCAAAAATTTGAGAATTTGATACATAACTAAAGTAATCCAAAAATATTTTTCTTTTTAATATATAGAGGATAAAACCAAAGAAATGTTTATTCGATTCTCTTTAACATGTTTTCTTTCTTTACTTTTACTAATCCACAAGATCTCCTAATAATTAATCTTACAAAACAAGTGTCATCATACAACTAATCTTTATAGACACAAAATCCTTCGAGAGTTACAATCTATCAAACATCTTTCTTAGTATATTCTACTTTTTCTTTAAAAAAAAAAAAGAAATTTTAAAAAAAGAAGAACAATGCCAAAACATAAATACTGAAACTGGAACTAATATTCACATAGCTTTCACTTATAGTATAATGATTTGGGCCTACTGTTAATTCACTAAAAGTAAATGGGCTTATGGATGAAGCCCTTTAAAGTGATCCACGAAAGCTACGGGCTACAAATTCAGTATTCTTCGGTCAAAGAAAAGATGACGTAAGAGAACACGTACATATATGTTACCCGAAATGTGTATAACGTTTCCTGCGACTCCTCCCTCCGTTTTCAGTAAAATCATCTCTTTTAATTTTCAAAATATTTTCTCAGTCTAACGGAAAAATAAAAATAAAGAAGCAAACTTTCTTAATCTTCTTCTTCTCTACTCTTGAAGAACCTCAAAAAATCCAATCTTTCAGCTATTAGAGAAGGTAAAATGTCAAGGGAACGGGAATATTCAGTAGTACCTTTCCGAGGAGATACGCCGGAGAAGAATCCGACGCCGGCGAGAACTGAAGTTCAGTCTCCGAAAAAGGTTTGGTTTTTAACTTCTTATTTTATGGGTTTTTCGTTTTTGTTCTCTGGAAGATCTGGTTTATGCTCTGTTTTGTTTGTCCTTCACATGAGTCTGTTTTTCATTTTGATTTTTTTTTTTTTAATACTTAGGGTTTTAAGCTCTGAAGCTATGGTAAAGGAAGGTGATTTAGAGGGATTAGATGAGAATAAGCTGAGAATAAGTGAAATCTTAGATGAGATTCAGGAGAAAGCTTCATCATTTTATGAGTTCTCACTTCAGTGGGAAGAAATGGAGCAGAAGCTAAAGGAACGAGCCATTGAAGTAGAACTGAAGGAGAGATCTTTAATGGAACAGATTTTGGAGTTGGAGAAGAAGGAAGAACGGTTAAAGGAGGTTGAAGAAGAAAGGGAGAGGAAGATTGGGTTGCTTGAAAAGTCGATTAGATAAGAAAGAAAAAGAAAACGATGTGAAACAGTTTATGGAATCATCTCTCATGAGATTGGTTTGTGAGAAGAAAGAGGAAGAGCTTGAAGAGAGGGAGAAAAAAGTTGAGTTGCTTTCTAAGTTGATCGATGAAAAGTCATGTGAGTTAGATAGGAGTAGGAGAGTGAAAGATTTTGATCTGAAGGAAAAAGTATCGATTGAGAGAAGGAGCAAAGAAGCTGAGGTTGTGGCATTATCTCTTGAGCAGCTTGAAGCGAAGGAGAAGGAGCTTAGCTTACTTGATGAAGCTGTGAAAGAGAAATTAGCTGAATTTGAGAAGAAAAACAGAAAGAAAAAGCTGAGGAGATTGAGGAGTAGACCAAGTTTCTTGAGTTAAAGGAGAAGAAGATTGAAGAAATGGTGAATGAAGTTGAATTGAAGCAGAGAGAGTTTCAAGAACCATTAAAACAAGCAGAGACTTGTAAGAGATCAAGGGTTAAAATGTTGGCAGAAAAGTGTAATGAAGCTGATTCTCCTCTCACTCCTACCAAAAAACACAAATCACACTACCATGATGATGAAGACGAGGGAGAAGATCCAGCTTGTGTAGTTTCAGCTTCTGCATCTTTTTCTGAACAGTTGAATGAAGCGCACGAAGGAGAGATTGATGAAGTTGTCTCCATAGCTGACACAGATGAAGAAGATC